CAGCTCGGGGTGGCGGAAGTGACGTACACGGCGGGGCGGGGATTTAGGAGAGGCGGGGAGCTGCAGGGCTCTCATACAGGCCACGCCCCGTTAGTGGGCGGGATCACAGATACCACGCCCCTGACGTAGCCCATTCATTAGTCGGCTCATTCACCTTGTCCACTCGCCAGAGGCTCGGCGCCGATGCTGCAACTACTGCGAATTTACGCCAGCCCAGCGAAATTCGGTAGTCAGACCTCTAGCTGTGGGTCTCTCCAGTCAAGCAGAGTTTATATTTTGCATAAATCAGGCCTCTTTGACACACCTTTAAGCCGGGGGGCGGAGTGGGAAATGGCGAGATTTAGGGACTGAAAGGGAATCGTTTCTGAATGCATGGACCCCGAAGTTAGGAGAGAATGCTCAGTACCCCTAAAGGAGGGATTACCCCTAGAGTGCGGGCCCTAAAGGAAGATCAACGTGCGGGGCGGGGGCTCAAGATAGGATTGCTGCGAACGCATTTCACCCCGATGATTGAGCCCTTGTAGGCAAGCATTTTCCTTTTAAGGCAATTCACTTCATCTTCTTGGCAGTCTTGAGGAGTTGCCTCCATTTTGAAATGGAGCGTAGAGAGTTAACTTTTTCTGCTAGTGTAGAAGAAGGTGGAGCCGTTCTGTTTCTAGGCAGATCTGCCAAGAGATGGGCCTTAACTACGGGTGTTTCCTAGCACAATCTGAAACAGTAGCTGGTGAATGGATGAATGAAGAAATGCCGGGTGGTGCAGTGTGACAAAGGAAAACTTCAAAGAAAGAAGAGGCTGGCCATGCCCTCCGGGGTCCAGTAGACAGTTACAATCCAGTGTGTTAAGAGCTGTAACAGAGATTCCTCTAAGGTGCTATTTAAGCACAGAAAGGCATAAACTGCTTTAGAACTTAGGGAAGGCACCTTCAAGGCTGAAGGATGAGTAAGAATCCAGTGGATCTGGTAGGAAAGCGCCTACCAAGAATGGGAAATAATCTCTGAAGTGGCACTGTGCTATAAGAAAGGGGAAAAAGTGCATTAAAGAAACTGGGACTATGAATGCAAGAAAACCAATAAGGATCACGAGCAACTTGTGTGGGCATAGTGCTAATTGATTTACGTGGATCACCTCACTGATTATAAAGTAGAAGGGGTAGGCTGTATTCCCAGTACCTTTTGAATAAAAAACTAAGGCTGACAGGAAATCATGAGAATTCAGATGACCAGAAGTCTGAAAAGGGTTGTTCAGGGACTAAAAGACTGGCGAAGTCAGTGACGTTGGGCATAGAAGATTTTAGAAACGGCACATGAGAGGTCACCCTGGTAGGAAGAAAGAGCAACTATAGTGTTAGAAGTGTGCAATTTGGAGAGGGCTTGGCAAGGAAGACGTCTGTGCTTCAAGCTTGGTCAGGCTGGGCAGCCTGAGTGGGCAGGGAGACCCACCTGCAAGATGACTTCCTACAAGGTGGCAGTTCTGTGCTGGCTGTGATTTCCCCTCCACATGGGCCTATGCTGGGGCACTTTGGCCTTCCCCATGCATGGTGGCAAACTTCCAGAGTGTTCCAGCAAGCAAAAGTAGAAGCTGAGGGCTGGGGATTTGGCTCAGTGGTTCTGCCACCTGCCTCACAAGTGCAAGGTCGGGAGTTCAATCCCCAGTACCAAAAAAAAAAAAAAAAAAGAAGGTAGAAACTGAATTGTTTCATTTGACCTAATTTGGAAGCCACATTAGCATCACAATTGCCATAATCTATTATTGATCAACCAGCTACAAAGCCCACCCAGTTTCAAGGGTAGAGGACATGGAAAGGGAGTGGTGAGATTTTAAAGCTCCCAGAATATGTGTGATGGAAGGTTTGGTTGTAGCTAATTTTGGAAAACACAAACTGCCACCTGTACAGCATCTGCCAGGGTGTGCTTGCCGGACACTTACCTTAGGACCATCTGTAGCCCAAAAAACACTGCCAGAAGGCCTTTCCCTGGAGATCCGAGTTCTCCAACCCTGGGCTGAGAATTGCGAGTCTGTACTTAAACATCAGAGGTAATTCTAATGTATCTTAATATTTGAGGACAACATATTTTAAACAAATAAAAAATATGAGCAGGAGTTGCTGTAGTTCTCTTGACTATTGTCTATCACAACAGTTAATGAATATCACACAGAAGAGGAGTGAGGCTCTGGAGCCTTGGCCTGAGTTTCAAAATACACATTTTGCTCAACTCTTTTTGCTCCACCTATGAAATATACATATCTTCATGCAGCTGTTGTGAAGTTTAAGTGACATAATAAAGTACTTAGAACAGTACATAGCGCTTACCAAGTGCTATTACTTTTGTGATTTAATAAAGCCAGGTGTAGTTTTCTTTAGGAACCCAGATCTTTCAATTTTTTTTTGTTTCTATTTTTTATTAGCACATGTTTGCATTACATAATGATGATATTCCTCGTGAGTTGTACATAATACATCTTAATTTTTTTCAATCCCTCTGTTCCTCCTTTCATCGCTTCATCCTCGTATTTGAAAAAGATCTATTTCCCTATTTACTATTGTCTATCTTTTATTTTGCTCTTTATTATATTTTGGGTTTCTGATAGATGAGAAACCATGCAATATTTAAGTGTCTGTGTCTGCTTTATTTCATTTAACATTATGGTCTCAGGGTGCCTCCATATTCCTACAAACAACTCAATGGCAGACTAGTACTTCTTTGTTCATAAATGCCACATTTTCTTAGTCCATTTATCTATTGATAAACATATATGCCACTACCACAATTTAGTTATTAATAGTTATGCTGCTATAAACATGGGTATGCATGTATCACTGGAATATGATGTTTTTTTGTTTTTCTTTTTTTTGGTACCAGGGATCGAATTTGGGCCCTTGAACTTGTAAGGCAGGCGTGGAACCTCTGAGCTAAATCCCCAGCCCAGAATATGATGTTTTTAACTCTTTCAGGAAGATACCTATAAGAGGAATATCTGGATCAAATGGAAATTCTAGATTTAGTCTTTTTTTCCCCTTTTTATTGAGTTTATTGGTACAATCTAGGTATACAGTATAGTTACATTCATTATTGGGATCTTATACCTTTACATGACAGGTCTTGATTCTCATTTCTTCCCCTTATCCCTGCCCACACTTTACCCCCTCCTCCCTTCCCCATTTACAAAGACTTTATTTCCATTTTTTCAGTTTCTCATATTTTTTTCCTCTCCCTTATTACCTTTCCCCCACCCTTCTCACTTTCCCTACACCTTTAGCCCTTTACTTCCTATTTCACATTATTAATTATCTCATTAGGATCTTATGTACTATTATAGTTTTTCACACCAGAGAAACTATTCAGTATTTCAGTGAAAGAAATCTCTGTATGAACATTAAAAATAGGGAATCCTAAAATAAAACTAAAAAGGAAAGTAAAAGAGAAAAGGCAATGATGTAAAATTAAAATAATCCTTAATTCTGAATATGAAAATGGTCCTTGAACATATTTAAGTTGCTTCTTGCTCTTGTAGTCTTATATTATTCTTTTTTCATTATTTAGAGAACATTAGTTTCTGTAATCAAACCCACGTAGATATGACCTTACATATTTAATACAGTGTGTTACCCCTGTACAAATGGAAAAAAACTAACATTTCTAGACCAATATGGCTGTTAATTTCTATACAATGCAAACTCAACACAGTAAATTGGGATAACTTTTTCCAAAATCGACAGCACAGTTAAAGTTTCCAAAAATTCAAATGACATATATATATACATATGTATATGTATATATATACATATAAATATTTATATGTATATATATATTTATATAAAAATACCAATAATAGCAGTATGTTATGCGTCAATAGCAGCAACAGCTTTTCCGGGTTCTGCAGTCATCTGAACAAAATTATAGACATTCAGCACATTCCATTAAAAAAACAAAAACAAAAAACAAAGAAAAGAATAATACCCAGAAAATAGCAAAGTTCTGTTGCTGTTGTGGTACCTGGCACCATTTTTTTTATTAGCATCTTAATCATCATCTGGAGAAAGAACATTCTAGAGTAACATCATTAAAAATAGCTCTGATAAAGCACGGCCACTACTATGTATCATAAAGCAGGTACTACATATTTTATATTCACAGAGGTATGATACAGTACTGTCCTACATCAATAATATTAGAATCAGCTTTGGTTTGAAATTTACTTTGTCTGCAAGTAAGATTGCTACCCCTGCTTTTTTCTGGGCT